AATCGGGCGGTCAGGATCCGGGACGTGGTTGATTACACGTCATCGTATCTTAGACGGTGTGTGATAATATAGATCACTTATCGATTAGTTACAGGCTGCCAGTATGTAGCTTAAATAGTTCTGTGTGCTGCGTTAAACAACAAACTTTACATTAATGTGTCAGTTGGCAGCTAGTAATACACGCATTACTGGCATCAAGCAGATACTGACCTGGGTAGTCGCCCCTAAGTCGCAAGGATCCGCTCATCGTTTATGATCCAGGATTTGCCATCACCATACCCGTGATCAAGAGTGTCACCACAATTGGGCATTCTGACACACCAAGCAGACACGCCGTGATACAGCAGACATACTGCGCAGATCAACATTGAAACCGACTCCATCACTACTAGTGGTATTATAATATCTATGTTTCTGTATCTACTATTTCAGACAGAACAAGTGATTTGAGATCAAGAGCTGTGGTCAGTGTCTGTCCGAGAACTGAAGAGAGATGTCCAGTAAGGTTGGCGTCCGTCGATGCAAGATAGGAATATATATCTACTTGAATTTCATAGGTTCAAAAGTTTAAATATAGTCTTACATAATGTTAGCTTCAAAGTCAGTCGGGTTTTTTAAGTGACACTCAATGCTAACAGACTGTACGTGTTTAATACCAGTAAATGTTGGTCATCACCTTGAAGATTTTATGAAACGCAGTGGTCTCGAAAGGTTTGACGCTGCTTTCATGCGCGCTTGTACTCGTCCGGGCTTATGCTGGCTTTATAGTGCTTTAATGAGAAACCATTAAAATGGAGTGAGTGAGTGAGTGGGTATGTTTTTACGTCGTTTTTAACATTATTCCAATGATATCCAAATTGAGGCATCAGAAAATGGCTGCACATATTTGTAAACATGTCGGGGAGCGAACCCGGGTCTTTGACATGACGAGCGAACGCCGTAATCGCTTGACTAACACACCGCCCCAGTTTATAAAGATACCCACTCAGACACAGAATACAATCCGACAGTCGTTGTTTTATCCCCTTTATTTATGATAGTGCGACTGCAAGGTCCTTGTCTGCAGTTTCAAACAATCTATTTAACGCCAGTAAGTGCTGTACGCCGCTTTTGCCGTAGTTCCAGCAATATCAGACCCGTCACATCAAACATAGGCTCCACACAATGACCATTGAAGGAATAAAACCTGGGTCATCAGCATGACAAGCGAACGATTTAACCACAAGGCTACCTACCATCACCGGGGAAGAGCAAGAATGCGTTTCACATAGCTCTTCCATGGGATTCAAACCCTTGTCTGGGAGAGAACGCCAAACCCACTCGGCTAACCAACGATCCTTAGGGTCAATGAGGATGGTTTTACGTCGCCCTTACACACAATTCCATCCCTTATCACGAATACAAGTGTGTTCATTATCCTTGAATCCCATCGCCCTTTTTGTTTTATTTCAGTGTAACATACAATAGTTCATATGGTTCTGGGGCGGTGGGGTACAGCCTAGTGGTTAAAGCGTTTGCTCGTCACGCCGAAGGCCCGGGCTCAATTCCTTACATGGAGAAAATGTGTGGAGCCCATTTCTCGTGTCCCCCGCCGTGCTATTGCTGGAATATTGCTAGAAGCAGCGTAAAACCCAACTCACTCACTCACAACATAACAGGACACTGGTGTTTCGCAGTATTCGACTGCTCTACATATAATTTTGAATTATTTTGAACTATCTCTTCACATAGTTTTGAATTATGGCGTTCATTATTTTTCAAATTTTAAATGACAGTTATTCATGAAGTGCGTGTCTTTGATGTCGCGGTTCAATTTGAATGTTATATATTTGTAATTTTCATATTTTGCATCAAGGTGACATTGGAAATCGTTTCCATTTACGGGATGTCGACTCAACCCTCAGTCGACTGTCATAACTGTTTAATGTCATGAAAATTAAATATTTACGCCGAAGTATCATTGAAAGGCCTACTAATTGAGCGACAGCCTCCGTGGTATAGTGGATATAGCGTCTGCCCCGTTAGCGGAAGGTCAGTGGTTCGATCCTCGGCCGCGTCATACAAAATGACGTTAAAAGATATCAATCGGCATAAAGGCGGTTAAAACAAGCAATGGTCGGCTCGAAGTCAGTATAATATGTCTGAGTGGGATATCCATGTCAAACTATAACAGTTTTTCAGTTGGCTGGCATTATAAAACCAGCATTAGTTCGGACTTTAGTATCACAAGCACGCACGTCGCTATACAAGTGCAATTATCTTTAGCGACGTTAAACCCCATTCCACAAGTCCGCCGTGTACAATATATATCTGAAAAATATGTGCCGATTATAGAACTCGGTTTTTAAACCCAATTTGTCCGACTACTTTCTGGTTTAAATCGTATTTTATGACCCCTTCTTTTGATGCGATTGTAACAGTGGCATATGCTCCTAAAGTGCTGTTGACAGGGCAATGGAGGGAATCGACATATTTTATGAGAGCTTCTCTTGCTTGTCATGCGAGGCGAGCAAGAGATGACAGCTAGACCATGCTGTGTATAATAGCTCCATTGTCTTATGATAAGCACCCTGTGACAATCGTCTGTTGTGATACATTCGCTCCATGCTTGGTACTCCCACAGCAGATAGTGTTCAGCGAACAACTAAAAGTCGCTGAATATTCATAGTAACATTCATATAATCTTTTTTCAAATATCTTACCTGTGAACGTGTTTATTTATGACAAACATTTCCCAACCGTGTCCTGTTCTGTCATCTAACACGACCCATCGGTGTCCCAGTACATCGTGACCCGTGAAGATTCCGGGGTAGAATAGGTCTTCAGCAACCCATACTTGCCGTAAGAGGTGGCTATGCTTGTCGTAAAAGGCGACTAACGGGATCGGGTGGTCAGGCCCGCTGACTTGGTTGATGCATGTCATCGATCCCAATTGCGTGGATCGATGCCCATGATATTAATCACTGGATTTTCTGGTCCAGACCCGATTATTTACAGACCGCCGTCATATAGCTGGAATATTGCTGAGTGAGGTGTTAAACAACAAACTAACCCAGCACATCGTAGCCAGACTCTGGGATTTGCCGACATTTTCAGGACACGGATGCTTCTTCATATAATCGTAATTCCATCAAAAAAGACACGTAGGAAAGTTTTTAGGAGATGTATATAGACTATTCAACTTGTGATAGCAGTATTCGGTATTTGGTGTATGTGCGCGTTTGTTTGCACTCAAAAGTCCCTCCATGAGAGTCTGACTGTAAAAAATCGAGTCCGGGTTGATCCTGTGATTGATATTATGAACAACGGACCACGCCGCAGAGATATGTTGACACACCACAACCAAGTCACAGACTTCCGACCCATTAAATCACTCCTTACAACCAGCATACGTTGCTAGTGTGACCAATTCTAACCCCGAATCCCCAATTACGTCGCTCTTGCGACAAGCGATGGCGTGCTGGAGACTTATTCCGCCCCGTGCTCCCCAGGTCATAACCGATTCCTGACAATACACATATATATGGAAATTATATCACAGTATCTGTCAGTTGACAAGTATATAATTCATTATTAAACAGCAGTTCTGGGTTTCGTCAATGAAAGTCAACATAGCTGTAACAAAATCACTCATTCGTGTTTAACTGTGGGGTAAGTGAGTGAGTTCACCAGCTATACGACAATGAACAAAGAGTCATTATCAGACTTCTGGACGATTCCAACCTACAACCATTGGGTTCAGATACCACGATTAAGGGACACAACTCTGTACTGCGAAATGGCAGACCATGAGCCGACTGGGTAACCACTTTCGTCATTGTGAGATTGCCAACTGCAGCTCAAGTGAAACATCATTTATATTTCAATGTGGAAAACACAATAAGGATTGATACTTTTATAGTTCTTGATTCAATACTCAAAACTAGAACCTACTCAAAACAGTGTTATCCTGGTTGACAGATGAGTATGCACTTAAACGGCACTCTCAGCTCCGTGGGGTGTATACAGCCAAGGTGTCTCCAAGGTGCCGGAAGTTTGTCTTGTTCCCCATGACCGTATTTCAGGCTGCCAGTTACCAAACACTGACAAGTGAACAATATACAATTTGATGAAAGTTAGTCAGATCCTGATACAGGTTGAATAAGGTCACACAAAGATTTTTCCTTGTCTTTACCTCAATACCTATGTCAATATGTTAGAAAAAAATTAAGAACCAAAAGTCAATAAAAATATTAAGTTAAGGATATCATTTTGAAAATTCCTGTAAAATAAGATGCTACTCTATTATAAAAGTCTTGATTAAAAGCAGAAAGTGAAACACTTACATGTGTGTCTATTTTGGGATTATTAAACACAGCACTATCTCTCTGCGTCTCTTTAGTTTGGTTTTTTTTTTGTGTAAGGCAGATTAACTTGTGAAAAAAATGTTAATTGTTTGGCCTTAATAAAGGTGACCAATAAAGATATAATCAAATGTAATGAGCTTTAGCTTTCTTTGTTTGTTTGCTTGTTGTTTAACACCTCACTCAGCAATATTCCAGCTATATGATGGCGATCGTGTCTGGTCCAGACAGTCCAGTGATTGATGTCATGAGCATTGATTCACACAATTAGGATACTATGACATGCATCAACCAAGTCAGCGAGTCTGACCACCCGATCCTGTTAGTTGTCTCTTACGACAAGCATAGTCTCCTTTTACTGATAATGATCAATTCTCCACATGCGTCATTAGTGTAGTGTAAAAGGATTTTATCAGTTGAATGCTTGAACAAGGCCAAAAAACTAAATCTTATACACCTGCTAGTGACACCTGCTAGTGAAACATGCATCTCCTATTCGGCTCATATGTATCCCAGATATTACTGACTAAGTCTTGTTGGAGTTGATTATGCCTGGAGTTGACTGTCCTTGACCTTGACAGCTCCGTGATATGTACCACTAATACGAAGCTGTAGTCACAGTGTAACATCCGCTTCTTGAAAAAAGTACACATGAAGAACATGGGCAAATATTTATTTACTATTTACAAGCTGTACAAAAATCTTAGTAGTTGTGGAGTTCATCGCTTTCTGACCGGCTTCCATCGGTACTGGGCAGGTGCGGTCTTAGTTTCGTCCTTGACCTTCTCCTTGCTGGCCTCCTTGTCCTGATGAAGGAAAAGTCAAAGTCTCCAAATCAAAATTAATAAGTGATTTCTAAAAGTTAGATGGGAAAGTGAACAAGGTGATAAAAGAAGAAATTCAAATTATGGACGACTACAGATTAGAATCTACTTTTTTTCATTTCTGGAATTACTACAGACATTTTTTTCAGTATTTCTGAGGAAGAAAGTGACATTTACCACTATGGAGAAACTAGAAGCACTTGCATGGTGCAGAGAAATGATAATACTAATCGGGACAAATTCAATTCAAACCCAAGATCAGTGAATCCTGGCAAAGCTCAGGGAGGCAACTCTTTTCAGGGAAATGTGGCATCTTAGACAACCAGACAACTTGAGTATCCTGACCCTTGATAACCAACTACTGATAATCAAGATACATGATTTTGAGTCTTCTTCCACACTTAAACACACAACAGCTGTCTAATAAAGTGGAGAGTATCATGATGACTGCTATGAACACTGCCAGGAAGTGATCAACTCACCATCAGATGGATCTTGGTCTCCATCTTGTCAGCGACAACACTCAGGTCCCTCTCTCTCTCTATCCTCTTGCCCAGTTCACTGTAGCGCTTGTGTGTTGCCACGGCGATGTCCTGGGAACAACAACAGTATCTACACACTGACATGTACAAGACATGAGCAAATCTATACCAGTTGGACAAGTTTTTGAAATAACAAAACATAGATAGATTTCCAAAATTCCATTTGTCTCGGACTAGCATGCTGGTGTCTTTTCTAACCCTGATTCAGCAATCATCTGCAGGCAGAACATATGTTATTTGCCAAGGATGCAAACCAAATGCATGTGTCATCACATGACCAGTGGTGTGGTGTGGTGGGGAGGGGTGTGTTGTGGTGGGGTGGGGTGGGGTGCCGCGCAGGGTGGTGCGGTCTCCAAAATAGATAGACCCCAGTAAATCCCTGGACCAATCTTACATGTAGGACAAGGTAGGAGTTTTTGAGTTTCATGCTAGTGCCATCAGGAACCTCATGTGGTAATGTGTGGTGGGAAGGGGTTTAACGTTGCGTCCAAGATTACAGCACTTACATAGCGACCTGCATGCACATGTGCGTGTGTGTGTGTGGCTGCTTGTACTAGTCCGGACTGATGCTGATTTATAGTGCTAGCCCACTGAGAAACAATGCCCCAGTTTTACATGAATACCCCACTCAGACACAGTATACTTACTCTGAGGCGACTAGTCCTTGTTTTAGCCCCTTAATGCCGAGCGTCATACATGTTAACAACAAGAACCATCTTTTAACGTCGATTTGGTCTTTGACGAGGTGGGGGATCAAACCCCGGACCTTCCACTTTCAACGTCTACACTCTACTACTAGACCATGGAGGCGGTCCGGACCCTCATTTAGAATGTGTTATGAAGGCCTGGCTTCTAGATTATCATTTCTCCATCACATTCCGTCTACAAACATGACATGAGGTCAAGATGGGATACAACATCCTCAGTTTAGAATTTACTGTAGTCGACATATTAAGCACCCAGGGGCATAGGGGGCTGACCATTTCATATTCTGGATAGTTACTACCCCATTACAACCTACAGACTTGTTACCACCCGAGTACAGCCTACAGACTAGTTACCACCCCATTACAGCCTACAGACTACTTACCACCCCAATCACCTACTGCCTACAGACTAGTTACCTAACCCAATCTCTTACTGCCTACAGACTAGTTACCACCCCATTACAGCCTACAGACTACTTACCACCCCAATCACCTACTGCCTACAGACTAGTTACCTAACCCAATCTCTTACTGCCTACAGACTAGTTACCACCCCATTACAGCCTACAGACTAGTTACCACCCCAGTACAGCCTACAGACTACTTACCACCCTAATCTCTTACTGCCCACAGACAAGTTACCACCCCAATCTCTTACTGCCTACAGACAAGTGACCACCCCAATCTCTTACTGCCTACAGACAAGTGACCACCCCAATCTCTTACTGCCTACAGACAAGTGACCACCCCAATCTCTTACTGCCTACAGACAAGTTACTTACCCATTACTGCCTACAGACAAGTTACCACCCCAATCTCTTACTGCCTACAGACTAGATACCACCCCATTACTGCTTACAGACAAGTTACCACCCTAATCTCTTACTGCCTACAGACAAGTTACCACACCAATCTCTTACTGCCTACAGACAAGTGACCACCCCAATCTCTTACTGCCTACAGACAAGTGACCACCCCAATCTCTTACTGCCTACAGACAAGTGACCACCCAAATCTCTTACTGCCTACAGACAAGTTACCTACCCATTACTGCCTACAGACAAGTTGCCACTCCATTACAGCCTACAGACAAGTTGCCACTCCAATCTCTTACTGCCTACAGACAAGTTACCACCCCATTACAGCCTACAGACAAGTGACCACCCCAATCTCTTACTGCCTACAGACAAGTTACCTACCCATTACTGCCTACAGAGAAGTTACCACCCCATTACTGCCTACAGACAAGTGACCACCCCATTACTGCCTACAGACTAGTTACCACCCCATTACTGCCCACAGACAAGTTGCAACCCCATTACTGCCTACGGACTAGTTACCACCCCATTACTGCCTACAGACTAGTTACCACCCCATTACTGTCTACAGACAAGTGACCACCCCAATCTCTTACTGCCTACAGACAAGTGACCACCCCAATCTCTTACTGCCTACAGAGAAGTTACCACCCCATTACTGCCTACAGACAAGTTACCACCCAAATCTCTTACTGCCTACAGACAAGTGACCACCCCAATCTCTTACTGCCTACAGACAAGTTGCCTACCCATTACTGCCTACAGAGAAGTTACCACCCCATTACTGCCTACAGACAAGTTGCCACCCCAATCTCTTACTGCCTACAGACAAGTTACCTACCCATTACTGCCTACAGACAAGTTGCCACCCCATTACTGCCTACAGACAAGTTACCACCCCATTACTGCCTACAGACTAGTTACCACCCCATTACAGCCTACAGACAAGTTGCCACCCCAATCTCTTACTGCCTACAGACAAGTTACCTACCCATTACTGCCTACAGAGAAGTTACCACCCCATTACTGCCTACAGACAAGTGACCACCCCATTACTGCCTACAGACTAGTTACCACCCCATTACTGCCTACAGACAAGTTGCCACCCCATTACTGCCTACAGACTAGTTACCACCCCATTACTGCCTACAGACTAGTTACCACCCCATTACTGTCTACAGACAAGTGACCACCCCAATCTCTTACTGCCTACAGACAAGTTACCACCCCAATCTCTTACTGCCTACAGACAAGTTACCACCCCAATCTCTTACTTCCTACAGACAAGTTACCACCCCAATCTCTTACTGCCTACAGACAAGTGACCACCCCAATCTCTTACTGCCTACAGACAAGTTGCCTACCCATTACTGCCTACAGAGAAGTTACCACCCCATTACTGCCTACAGACAAGTTACCACCCAATTACTGCCTACAGACTAGTTACCACCCCATTACAGCCTACAGACAAGTTGCCACCCAATCTCTTACTGCCTACAGACAAGTTGCCACCCCAATCTCTTACTGCCTACAGACAAGTTACCACCCCAATCTCTTACTGCCTACAGACAAGCTACCACCCCAATCTCTTACTGCCTACGGGGGCGGTCGGGTAGCCTAGTGGTTAAAGCGTTCGCTCGTCACGCCGAAGACCAGGGTTCGATTCCCGACATGGGTACAATGTGTGAAACCCATTTCTGGTGTTCCCCGCTGTGATATTGCTGGAATATTGCTAAAAGCGGCGTAAAACCATACTCACTCACTCACTCACTCACTCTTACTGCCTACAGACTAGTTACCACCCCATTACAGCCTACAGACAAGTTACCACCCCAATCTCTTACTGCCTACAGACAAGTTACCACCCCATTGCTGCCTATAGACTAGTTACCACCCTAATATCTTACTGCCTACAGACTAGTTACCACCCCATTACTGCCTACAGACTAGTTACCACTCCATTGCTGCCTATAGACTAGTTACCACCCCAATCTCTTACTGCCTACAGACAAGCTACCACCCTAATCACTTACTGCCTACTGACTAGTTACCATCCCAATCAGGAATTTGACCCGTGAAGATCCGGGGAAGAATAGGCCTTCAGCAATCCATGCTTGCCATAAAAGTTGACAATGCGTAAAACCATACTCACTCACTCACTCACTCTTACTGCCTACAGGCTAGTTACCACCCCATTACAGCCTACAGACAAGTTACCACCCCAATCTCTTACTGCCTACAGACAAGTTACCACCCCATTGCTGCCTATAGACTAGTTACCACCCCAATATCTTACTGCCTACAGACTAGTTACCACCCCATTACTGCCTACAGACTAGTTACCACTCCATTGCTGCCTACAGACAAGTTACCACCCCAATCTCTTACTGCCTACACACAAGCTACCACCCTAATCTCTTACTGCCTACAGACAAGCTACCACCCCAATCTCTTACTGCCTACAGACAAGCTACCACCCCAATCTCTTACTGCCTACAGACAAGTTACCACCCTAATCTCTTACTGCCTACTGACTAGTTACCATCCTAATCAGGAATTTGACCCGTGAAGATCCGGGGAAGAATCCATGCTTGCCATAAAAGGTGACAATGCTTGTTGCAAGAGGCGAGTAACAGGATCAATCAGGCGATCAGCCTCACTGACTTTGTTGATGCATGTCATCGTATCACAATTGTGTGGATTGATGCTCATAATGTCAATCACTGGATTTTTCTGGTCCAGACTCGATTATTATTTTCAGACCGCCGTCATATGGCTGGAATTTGCTAAGTGCGGCGTTAAACAACAAACAAACAAACAAACAAAAGGAATTTCATACATGTTTGAGGAGGTTCCACTGCCTGATATTACAATGTGCAGCTTGCTTTCAATTTGTTGTCTTGAGAACCCAAGTCTCTCATTAAAGCCAGAAATGCCAGATTTGACTGTATGGCGGGGTATAACGTGCCGCAGCCCTTGTTAAATCTAACTTTAGTACTGTATCTGTCAGTATGATGTATGCTTCCATAAATACATCAAGAGAGGGAGGACTCAGAGAGATGTTGAGCCGCGTTTAATGACATGACTACATGTGAAATAAACATGACTTGTCAAACACAAACAAAAACACGCTAAAAAAAACCCCAGTTTCAACTGTATCTACACCATGCAAGTTTAACAGCCATGATGCAACAAAGGAAGGCAAATCTGCATAACAGGCTGTTCATTGTGGCTCTGGTTGTAGCTGCCCATCACCCCGCGTGGCCAATTTATCATGACTGACATGCTACAGACGTGCTGAGGTGACAGACATCCACTGTACAAACACTGAAATTGGGAAACTAACATCCGAGCATGCTGATCATCAAAACATGCCTTGTAGATGTCGGGGAGAAATTAACGAGTCGCCATCGAGAGGAATCTTCAACCGACAACAAGAAGCAAGGGGAATCACTGTGGGACTTGGGCGGCTTGTGAAATCAATATCGAAATTGACGCTGCCGATCAGCTGACTGTTTTTGTCAAC